AGGCCCGGGCTGGATTTGAACCTGCCACCTTAGGTGTATGTGGCTGGCGCCTTAGCCACTTGAGCCACAGGCGCCGAGCCAGGACTTTTGGCTTTTCAGAGTCACCCAGAGAGTTGTAGGTGGGCTCTGCTGGAGCCTATTCAACAGTTTGGAGTTCTCAGTCTAGGCGTGTTAAAGAACTTCCAGAAGCAGATTTATTCAATTCTGAAGAAGTTAACTCTGGAGGGCTTTGGACTAGTCCTTCCCTGAAGGACTTTACAGAACCAAGGCTCTCCTGGACTTGGTAGGCTGAGGTCTGATCCTGTTTGCAGGAGTGGGGCTGGATTAGGTGTCCTCCGAAGCACCTCGCTGGCGCCAGGATTCCAGCTGCCTTGGCGTCCATGTGAGGGTGCTTGTGCGCGCCCTGCGACTGCGTGCGTGGGTGTTTATGTGAGTTGGTCGGTGGGAGGCGCGTGAGTGTGGCCCCCGGTGGGTGTGTCTGAGGCACTCTGGCTGGGGGCTGCGCCCGCTGCGCCCACTTGTGGCTCCCAGGCGCCTCCAGGAGGAAACGCACCTTTTCAGCCTCTGCTGAGGACGCCGCCCGATAGGAAGAGGACCGGAGGCTGATGACATGAGGGCGCCGTCTCCCGAGTGATGGCAGCGCGCGCTGCCTCGCCGCCTCCGCCGCTCAGCCCCGGACTCCTTACGTCAGGGTAGCTGGGTCCCCCCTCCGCGCAGGAGCCAGCGAGCAGCAGGAGAGCAGAGCAGAGCTCGCCGCGGTGCCGGGGCGTCCTCACTGCGCGGGGAGCCCCGCCGAGCCCGCTGAGCCAAGCCGGACAGGAGGCAGCGCCGCGGATCTCGCGCCGGACGCCGCCAGCGGACCCATTACTCGGCTGCCGCAGCCGGACCGGTGGGGCGCCGGGCTCGTCCTGTGCGCCCCCGCGCCATGCGCGCTGGGCTCCGCGGCTTTCCTGAGCAGCCCCAGCACCGTGGGCACAGGCGCCCGTGGCCGGGCGCATCTCCCTGAAGTAGTTGGGTGGTCAGAGCAGGGTCGCCACGTCGGGGGCGCGGCCGGGACCCGCGGAGTCGGCCCCCGAGCGCGGGGAGCCGGGCCGCCCGCGCCGCCCCATCATTACCTCCCCGGGCGGCAAGGAGGAGCTGGTGGCGGTCGCCTCCCGACTGTGGCAGCGGCGCCGGCGTGCCTGCCTGGCGGCCGTCGGCGTACTCCTGGCCATGGTGCTCGGGCTGCTCATCGCGGTGCCGCTGCTGCTGCAGGCGGCGCCCCCCGGCGCGGCGCACTATGAGATGATGGGCACCTGCCGCATGATCTGCGACCCATACAGCGCCGCACCCGGAGGGGGACCCGCAGGCGCCAAGGCCCCGCCGCCCGGACCCAGCACTGCTGCCCTGGAAGTTATGCAGGACCTCAGCGCTAACCCTCCGCCTCCCTTTATCCAGGGACCCAAGGGCGATCCAGGGAGACCGGGCAAACCAGGGCTGCGGGGTCCCCCTGGAGAGCCGGGCCCTCCAGGACCCAGGGGTCCTCCAGGGGAGAAGGGCGACTCAGGGCGGCCTGGGTTGCCCGGGCTGCAGCTGACTGCTGGGGCGGCCGGCGGCGTCGGGGTGGTGGGTGGCGGAGCCGGGGGCGGTGGCGGCGACTCTGAAGGCGAAGTGACCAGTGCTCTGAGCGCCGCTTTCGGCGGCCCTAAGATCGCCTTCTACGTGGGTCTCAAGAGCCCCCACGAAGGCTACGAGGTGCTTAAGTTCGACGACGTGGTCACCAATCTTGGCAATCACTACGATCCCACGACCGGCAAGTTCAGCTGCCAGGTGCGCGGCATCTACTTCTTCACCTATCACATCCTGATGCGTGGCGGCGATGGCACCAGCATGTGGGCGGACCTCTGCAAGAACGGGCAGGTCAGTGACCCCTACTCCAACGAGCCTCCGCACACCCTTGCCTGCGTCCCGAACTGCCCGGGGAACTGGCCTCCTTTCTCTCCACCCGCGGGCGACAGGAGCAAGCCCCGGGAGGAAGCGCTCTGCTGTGCTCTCGTACCCCGCTTTCCAAAGCGCCGGGGCAGTGCTGACGAGAGCGCAGCGCCAGAGTTTGGGCCCCAAGAGCCCAGAGACCCCGTACCCAAACCCTGCCTCTAGCTTCGTGGGCTCCTGGGAGACCTCAGCTGTCTTTAGTTCCCACCCGGTCGCCCATTTGTCTTCCAGTCATTTTTCCTCCTGGCACTGGGTCCTCCCACCCTTTTCCCCTGGGTCAGTGTCCATGAAGTCCCCTCTCTCCTTCCCTCCCGGACTCGCCGGCGCGGGGAGCAGGGGACCCGGAAGGTGTTGAGCAAGTTGGAGAGAAAGCGTGGAGCTGCGGTGGGGGTGTTGACCCTGAAGCTGAGGGCAGGCAGAAGGCCTGTCGGGGCGCTAGTAGGGGCAGGACAAGGGTTCTGGCAGAGGTGCCCGCGCTCACTTGCTCCCGCGACTCACTTCTAGGTCCGGGCCAGCGCCATCGCGCAGGACGCCGACCAGAACTATGACTATGCCAGTAACAGCGTGGTGCTGCACCTCGATTCGGGGGACGAAGTGTACGTGAAACTGGACGGTGGGAAGGCACACGGAGGCAACAACAACAAGTACAGCACGTTCTCGGGCTTTCTTCTGTACCCGGATTAGGGACAGGGTCGGGGGTGGCGGTAGGTGAGGTGGCTTCAGGCTGTCCTGTCCCTGCGGGAGTGCACAGCTCCTTGGCGAGGGCCACTCCATTCATAACACTTCCTGACATCTCCGTTGGAAAAGGCACATCCCTGCTGTCCTCCTTGCCCTGCTCCTGGTCTCAATGTGTCTGCAACTTACCACGCTTTAGGCTCTGTACTCCTCATCCCTGTCCCCAGCCCAGCAAGGGAGAGGGGGACGCCAAGCCCTAGGGAGATGGCATACATTTTGCAAACTTGATTGGACTGGACAGGCCTGCCCTCTTCCAGGCCTACTTCTCCTCCCAGTGCCCTGAGCCCCAGCCAGGGAGGTAGGCTCAAGGGAACATGGGCTCCCTGGGGCATCCTTCTTTGTGACCTGAAATACTTGTGTAAATTTCCCTGTCCATCAGCCAAAAACCCACCCACAGCAGAATTCCAGCAAACAGAAAACTCACATCTGCACACCACACTCCCTTCTGACTCAGACCCACTGCAATGCATTAAATTATGTTTTTAGACTATGGGCTCCCTTGTCTCTGTCAGTGTGGCCCCTGGGCCAAGGCTCTACATGTCCAGCTTGTTATAAACACCTTAATTGGGTCCAGGGTTGCTCCATATGTGCCCTGCTCTCCAGCCACAGCCATGTCCCTGCCACCTGACCTGGTCGAAAAGATGCGAGGAGATAGGGGCAGCACCACACCTTCCCCCCAAGTTCTTCCCTGCTCTGCAGCCCTGAACTGGAGGGGCACCAAGGGCATGGGGAGAGAGTTAGAAGGCAGGAGAGGAGTGATGGGGTCTCCAGCCTGGGGAACTTGAGCAGAGTTGTGGGAGGAGGCCACAGGGAGGGGCTTCTAGGGAAGGAAGAGGGGGAGGAAGCACCTCTGTTAGATGGGGAACACTTGCTGGGTTGGGGGTGAGATGTTTGGCTCTAACAAGGAAGTGCAGAAGTCTGCAGCAGACATGGACCTCCCGGGCATAGGTACATGCAGCACTGTGTCCATATACTTTCATGCAGCCAAGTCCACATCTCTTAAAAGGACTGGCAAACTGAGGCAATTCAGTGGATCACCCAGTTCCCTGAATTCACCCAGAACCGTGTGAAGGGAGAGAGACACCATCCCTCAGGGAACGAGACTCTTTCCTTCTGTTCTGTGTGATGGTGCGAGGTGCCCGCTCTGAACAGGAATGTGTTCATTTGGTTCCCCTGCATCCTTTCAGCATTCCACAAGCAAGTTGGGAAAACACTCAAAACATCCTACTTGGTTTCAATTATTTTCCTTTTTTGTTTTTGTTGTTAGATCACTAGAGTTCCAACAAACAGAGTTATCTACAAAATAACGACTGCAGTTTGTAACCTGTTAGTAATTATTGAACTCATTTTGACTGGTTGTATGAAAAGAAATGTGTGAGTGTACGCAGGATGCAGGCCGGAGTGTGTGTATCTGTGTAAAACTGGAGATCTTCATGTCATCTGTGTCTATATCCAGTTCCCATGTGGACATAATGTTGTGGTTATCACTCACAAGTATTTGTAAGTCCACATCAATGTTCATGGCTTCGTGTCTGTCCCCAAATCTCACTTGGTTCCTAGAGGATGCTGAAAGCTGTGATTTCCATTTAAAAGACAATTATACCCCCTGTCTTCTGTCCCAATGCAGTTGCTATTCCTTTTGCCTTATTTTATTTGAATAATGTTTTATTGTCATTCACTTGAATATGAGCAATGATTATGTCTGCTTCAAGTCCAGGGATAAAGTGCTTGAAGAGAGGTAGGGGACAAATACACACAAACTACCACCCTCCCCCAGTTCCAGACTCAAATTGAACCCCAATTTCTTACCCCACCCTGCTCTAAATGATTGTGGATCCTAAACCCAGCTGGGGCCAGCTGAGCCCAGGAACTGGAGGGGGTGGAGGTGGGCCGGTCTATGGTTGCATAGGTATCAATTTCTGATGCCTTGTTGATTGTATCATCCAGAAATTCGATTAAAACCAAATGTCTGAGACCCAAATGAAGTCTAATTGCTATGGATCTGCAATCCCCAGCGGGCCCCTAATCCTTTTTGACTTATTCCTCCCCTTCCTCCGATGAGATGGAGCTTAGACACAAAGCCTTTGGTTTAAATTTCAAAAATTAAAATTGACATGCAGCAGTGGCTTTCCTGGGAGCGGGAGGAATTTCTAAGGAGGTGCCCGAGCCCAGCTTTATCCTTTGCATTAAGAAGCAATTTGTACTTCTAACAAAACCCCTGCCACTCCCCTTTGGCGGAAGGGCAGTGGAGATGCCTTGCCCAGGTCTGACTGTTCACAATACTTAGACAAATTTGAATCTGAGATTCCTCCATCTGTATTCCCTGATGCTTCGTGCAATTCTAATGCCTGGGCTGCCGGAGGTGCTGCCAGAGGTGTCAGCTGCTCAGAGGATGATAGATTGATGAGGCAGCAGGGCTGGCCGGAGTCAGGAGCTAGCCAGCTCAGGAGCAATTTCTTCGTGTCTGCAAACTCTCTAGACCCCAGGCGGCCCTCTCATGGACCACCAAGGCTCATGACCCCATCTTTTCTGCAGAGGGCTCCCTGAGAAGGGGGCAGGGTGGGGTGGGAAGGCCAGGCCTTCCACCATTGCTGCCATTGTGGTACCATTGGTCTTGGGGTGCATGTGGAATACAAGAAACTCTTTGCCCCAGACACCCTTGTCTCTGGTTGAGTAGGAAGTTATTATCAGTCATAATTATAAAGATTGCTTTAGTTTCCTTTTTGCTTTTGAGTCCCTTTTCTGTGTTCTTAGGTTTGGGTTATCCTACTGGCATCATGCAGGCATGTTCATGTGGGCAGTGGGGAAATTGGGGCTCAGAGAAGTCCATGAAATTTGCCCAAGTACATAAAGCTTAGAAGAGGCTGAACTAGAACTTGAAGTCAGAACTCCAGGCTAGGCCTCTGCTTGGCTGCACAGAGGGAGCAGGCCCACCTGCCAGAGTCCTCAGTCCTTTCAGGGGAAAGCAAATGAGTGGGGCACATTACCCACCCCTCTTATGCAAGGAGAGTCAGTATCCTCTGGAAAGTCAGATGATAAGAGGTTGTCCCTCTAGAGAGTACCCTCACCAGAGGCTCCCACTGTTGAGGAATTTGGCTGAATACCCTGACCAGTGTGGATGGCCTTGTGGAACCTTAAGGTCACCAACTTCAGAAGTTCCATTAGGACCTGTCTCTACCAGCAACTCCCCCTAACCTCCTCTCCTGACCACTTCCTTCCAGGACAGCCCTCCTTCTTCCCTCTTGGTAGCCTGAGTGCATGAGGCACACACTTTTCTTGGAAATTTGGATAGAAGTTATGCCTTTTGCTGTTTCTGTCCTGCTTGTGTGAACAGATGGCTCTTTTGTGCACCCAAGACAAAACTTCCAGGTCTCCCCCTGCATCAGGCTATTAAGATACTGCAGAGGGGCCTCATTGCACAGACTGGTTGCTCCAAACTTTCCTGATCTTGTGGTCCTATTGGTTAAACGTTTTTTTTGAGCACCCACATGCAATGTATGTATTTGACTTATGAATAATTTATATATTCTGCTGTCAATCTATACTTTTCAAAATTTTCCATCTTTTTGTATTTATATTAATCAAAGAATCTACACATTAAAGTTAGTGCCTGTATTCCAGCTGCCTAACCAAGTTTGGAAACGTATCTCCTCTCATTGGAACAAAAAGAAAAAGGGGGGTTAATTAAAGGTTGTTTCCTTTCAACTTGTCATTTTTCCAGAATCTTAGGCATGATGATATGTTCTTGAATGAGTCACAGGTAAGCCTGTGCACTTTAAGAATTAAAGTGCACAGTTTTAGTCCATGATTTCAGTATTAGTAATGCATGATCCTTTTTTAGATTAAATATAAATAAAACTTCGGAGACTATGATATTAGCATTGATGCCATTTCATACAATCAGGATGGGCCAGGCGGTGTGGGGTCTCTTCTGGGGTACCTCTAAATATCATGGAGGGCAACCTGGCAGAAGGAAATAAGAAATTTTGGAGGAATGTTTTCTGCTAGACTCTTTTTTTTTGCAGTTTTTGGCTGGGGCTGGGCTTGAACCCACCACCTCTGGCATATGGGGCCGGTGCCTTACTCCTTTGAGCCACAGGTGCCACCCTGGAGGAATGTTTTGATCTCCCTTTATTGCCATAGTGTAATTCCGCTGTGTGGAGAGCACTCCCCCAAAGAGTGTGGATCACAGTAGCAATTACAGTAAAGAGTATGAGTAGTAGTTTTTGTATTTATTTATTTATTAATTTATTTGAGACAGAGTCTCACTATGACACCCTCGGTAGAGTGCTCTGGCACCACAGCTCAGAGCAATCTCAAACTTTTGGGCTTATGCGATTCTCTTGCTTCCCAAGTAGCTGGGACTACAGGTACCCACCCCAATGCCTGGCTATGTTTTGGTTGTAGTTGTCACTGTTGTTTAGCTGGCCTGGGCTAGGTTTGAACCCACCAGCCTTGGTGTATGTGGCCGGCACCCTAACCACTGAGCTACAGGTGCCTCTGAGTAGTAGTTTTTAAAAATAAATTTTATCGTAATAGTTTCAACATATACAGAAGTACTTGAAATAGTGTGGTGGGCCCCCCAGCCTGTTGTCAGCCTGGCCAAGATGTAGAGCTGCAGTTTTGATCTACTAAGATCTCACAATGTGTCAGGAATTGGTGAGAGGGCACAATTGTGTCCTCACAGCACACCTGTGAAGTAGACATTACTTTACAGATCGGGAAACTGAGACTCAGAGAGGTGACGTGACTTCTCCAAGACAGAGGCCAGGACTGCATCAAGGTCCGTGTGACCCTAGCCAAACTCTTTCGGGAATATGGGTGGAGCAAGGAGATGAGGCCTTAAAAAGACAATCCACAATGAAGGTGCATTTCTGCAACAAATCTTGTTGCAAGGACTCTGCAGGTAAAGCCAGCCTCTAGGGTTTTTCTGGAGGCTTTGACAGTAAATTCCCACTCTCTCCAAGTATTTTAATCATTTGTTTCCCAAGACTTCTCTTTCTTACCCTGCTCACTGTTCCATGTAGCAGTTATGCTGTTCCCTCTACCTAGAGCTCTCTTCTCTG